TGGTGTGCGTCTGGGGCCTCATACCACTCGAGTGATCATGCTCTGCTCAAGAAGCATCCAAGTCCTCTAAATTATTACTCATGTTCCTCGGAGAAGGTGTCACAGTGGGTGTCGAAAGAAATGAGACCTCCTGGCAATGTGAGTGCGTCTAGGGAGCATTCATACACTGCCGTAGCTACGTCCAGGAAACAGTCATTCATTGGCGCAGCTAGAAGCAAGGCGTCGCATCTCTTTCGACACCCACTGTATGGCCTCTGACATGATATTCACACGTATCCATACAGCTTCCCTGTACACTGAATACAAGGCCAAAGCAAGCCTGATCTCGAGCCTTTCGGACCCCTGAATGTGGCTTACTCATCCACGTTCTCGACAGCCACCTGCGGGACACCAGTGGCCTTTTGTTCCCTCTCCTCCAAAAGCTCGCGCTCCCTCTCCGCCGCCGCCTTCTCAGCCGCGCGCCTCAGGCTCCTCTCCCTCAACGCCGCACGATCGACCCAGCCATCTCCCCTCAACATGCCCATTCCCTTCCTTACGACACCGCCCGTGACGGCCTTGGGGTCGCGCTCGTAGACGGCATTGATGAGCGCCAGGCTGGCGACGAAGAGCAGCACGTCGCCGTTGCGGACGCCGCGCCACCACTTGTGCTTGACGCCGACCTTCCAGAAGCTGTCGATGCTGGCGCGCAGCGAGTAGAGGAACGTGGCGCGGCCGTTGTCGCGCTCGAGGATGGCCCACAGGCCGGCCAGCATGCCGCCGAGCACGAAGCGGCCCTGCGGCAGGAAGCTGCGCGGCAGCCAGGCCTGGAAGAAGCAGATGCTGGCCCACGCGGAGCCGATGGAGCCCGTCGCGAAGAGCGTCATGCGCAGGACGTTGGCCGCCAGCTTGTGCAGCGTGGCGAAGGGCGCGTTGACGAAGGACTTGTAGCGCGGCAGGCTGAAGATGGTGAAGATGATGGCGAAGAAGCGTGCCGCGGCGGGGACGGCCGTGATGAAGTAGGTTATGTAGGTGCGGGCGCAGGAGGGATCGTGAGGGTGGAGGAGCGCGCACGAGAGGGATTTGATGGCCGGGTGCGCTGGCGAGGTTATTGGAGAAATAGTTGTCAGAGTTCGGGGAAGGGTACGTTTGTGGGGGAAGAGGATTGGAGACGTGAAGGGACTGAAAATGTTAGCCGGTATTTCGCGGTCGAGAAGCAGAGAACTTACGGCCAGCGGAGACGCGCAATTTCTCCAATGCTGTCGACGATGGAATAGGTGTCGGGCCAGGGAAGATTGCCTCTGTAGTTGTGAGGCCGCTGCTGGATATATTGCGGCGATTGCTTGAGGATGAAGCGGCCGTAGGCCTCGGGGAAACAGTCCCTGTCAAATACAAATGCATGCAGCAACTGACCGCATGTTGCAGGAAATATCAGCCACGAGCCAAACCACCATGGCGTGTCCTTGAACCACCCTCTGTCTTCCAATCCGTTGTACGCGAACTCTAAAGATCTAGTCAAGACATAAATGGCGATGGTGACGCGCAATTGATCCGCTGGATAGAGACCAAGGAAGAAGCCCGAGAGACTGGCGCCTATGGCTGGCGCAAGTCTGGCTGTCAAGACCCGGGTGACACGGGGATTGCGCCGCCTGAAGGGTCTGGCATTGTCATCCAGAATCGTGTCTCGCAGGCGATTGAAGAAGCGGTGGAGGATGCGGTGGAAGAAGAGGATCAACGCGAGGGAACTCGAAAGACGCAAATTGGACGACTTCCAGAACGGAACCTTTGATCGCCTGCTTGATCATGAGCAAACTGGGTAAACGTGTTGGACGGGAAGCGTACGGTGGTGGATGTCCTCTAGTCAGAAACCTCGACTTTATCGTCTCCCACAATCTGAGCGCAGCATATGTGGAGAGTCCAAGACGGACTGACGCACGAATGGCAGCGGCATTGTAGTCGTCTGTGCCCTTTGCAATGGCCTCGTAGCGGCGCGGCGAAGGGGCCTTTTTGCGCGCGGCCGGAGCGCGCGAGATCAAGTACTGGTGGAGTAGGCGGTACTCTCGCGCGCTGAGAGTGTAGCGGAGAGCATTTCGCAGAACGGGATCGACCTTGTCAGGTTTGCCAGACGACGAAGACGAGGCGACGGACGTCATGTTCAAGATGGTCGGGGAGGCATGGCACCACAAGGGACGTGGAGTGGGTCAACAGTGAAGGTCCGAGTGGAATGCGGGACATGGTACCCATGACTCGCGAGCCTCGGCTCCACCCGATCCCGTCACTCGCTGGCGTCGGTTTCGGTGAGCCGAACGGAAGCTTGTGAAGACGACGGCCTGAAACTCGCTCTGGCGTCTACACATATTCTATCAAGGCGGACGCTCTTCTCGAACAAATTCTCCGAGTGTCGCTGCGTTGCCAAGCCAGATCATTACCACCTGGATAGTATCAACACCCAGCTGCGACCTGTATCAATCAGCCACACGAGCACTTGGAGCGCCAGGCTGAAGTCGAAAAGCAAGGAGTACTCCCACTCCTACCTGCAGGAACCAACGCTCTGTTCGCCGTACCGTCGGTCAACACAGCCCTCGGATTGCAGCTTCGGGACATGACGTCGTTCCTGGCCATCGCCTGCTGTGGACCACGTGCGTTGAGCCATGAGTCTGTCCCCGGGTTTCGTTCTCTTGCTACTCGTTTGCAGGCTCCAAGGGAGTCTCCATCAGCATGGCGCAGCAACGTTTTGCCAGATGTGAAATGATGGCTCAATAGATGGCCCCCAGAAAAGCCTCTCGCCCCCACTGGGGCTGAATCCCTTTCACAGTCCACCAGCTGTTGATCCCTTGTGGAACGTGGCCATGAGCCATGCCCGTAAGAGCATAGGCTGTCCAAATTTGTACACCCTCTGTGGCTTGCACGCGCTGCTGACAGGCGCCGATACCAAGCCTTTGCCCTGAATTGGCATGGTGTGTGTCCCAATCAGCCCTTCGACGACCCTGAGATTTGCAGAAGGCCGCCGCATGCAAACCACTGCCTAGAAATTGAGGGCACAAAAATATTCCTTCTTTCTTCTGTGGACCCTGCGCTACGCCCTTGGGGACTAAGTCGACCGTCTACATAAGGTCTCTTTGTCCGCTACAGATTCTTGCACGCTACCAACCCACCAACTCTCCTCGTTTCCCCAAACTACACCGTTGCCGCGCGCAGTCTCACGTTTATACCAAGACTTCTGCCTAGAATTACGTCAATTCGACACGAGAAGATGGAGAAACAAGCCAATGGCGGTAGGTCCTCTCTGCTTCCCTGTCAGCATCCTCCTTGAACGGCCAGCCCGAGTGCACAACGACTCAGCTCTCCATTTCTTTATCCGAAGACCCACTTGGCAGCGAGAGTATATCTCTGGCGATTTCCCAAACGAAGCTCAATCTGGGGAAGCGTTCAGTGCAGCACTCCAAGGCAGATACAAAAACACACCTCCCCCGTGATCCGTCTCGAACTTCCCTTGGCGTTCAAGACTTTCAACATCACCTCCACACATACACGCCGCCATGGACGTCAAGACCGCCGAGAGGCCCAGCTCGATGGAGCTTCCGACCTACAGCAAAACCGACCCACAATCAGAATCCTCACGGTGTTCGTTCGCCGCCTGCCCGCTCCATTAGCACATCACCGAAACCACGACTCCGTCCACAGGCTAACGCCACCATTTTCGCAGCACCAATCATGACGCCCGACCAGACCGGGCAGACGATGCCCATGTCGCAGATTCAGCCAGACCACCAGACTTTTGCCCGTGAGGGTTACGTCGACCCCAACCAAGGCTTTGTCGGCCAGCAACCCGTCGGCGGCGACCAACAATTCCGCACCGCCACGCCGCTGGCCAACCTGCAGCGCTCCGCCGCGCCCGTCGACTGCCCCGCCTGCGGCGCGCGCGCCCTGACCGTCACGAAGTTCAAGACGGGCAACACGACGCAGTAAGTAACCTCAACGGCTGCTCAGCACGAAAAAACACGCCCAGCCGGTCTGGCGTACAATGGCGCGCAGTTGTTATTTGGATGGGATATGGTTGACTGACTGTCTGGACAACAGCGCCTGGGCCTTTGGTGTCTGCATCTGCGTCTGCCTCGGATGCATCCCGTACCTGGTCAAGGGCACCAAGGACGTCGAGCACCGCTGCGGCAAGTGCAGCAAGCACCTCGCGACGTGGCACCGTAGCGGCACCACCGAGGTGCTGGCGCACGCTTGAGCAAGCCGTCCACCTACCTCGACTCGCTCGCGAACATCGATACTTTTTTGGGTTTCTCCGGCGCGGTTGTTGGCGGCGTGTGGCTATCCTGGGTGCCTCCTCTTTTCTTTTCTTGATCTTTCATTCGTCGTTCTGGGACTGGACTGGATGGATTGGATGACTTCGGCGACTCGGAAAGACTGCAATGTACGAATAACGGACGGATGTGTTTGGGCCGGGTAGGGAGTGGCATTGGGAAGCGGTCGGAGCTTGGTATATACCCACAGAACGAGACGGTGTGAAATGAGGCGGTTTAGACTCGCTGACTAGGTATATCTCTCTTCCTCGGCTTTGCAGCCTTCCGCGTCGTGAAAATGGGGCCAAGAGAGACTAGTCCTCATGATTCCATCTCTTGACACAAGATCGCTCTTCTTATTTCCCCGGCTCTTTGTGTCTGTCGCGGCTCACCGATCTCCGTTGCCTGTCTTGGACGCGCCAATTCCTTTGCATGACGTCGTCGCAAGAAGTGATCGCCTCGGAATGACCGGAGGAAAGAGTGAATGTGGACAAAGAGGACAAAGACCAGCCTGGCGTGGAAACACAGACATGCTTCAGATGATTATGCGTCTTGTTCACACCAACAGCCGGAATTCAATCAGTGTTCAGGTCCGGGTTGGGTCCGGGTGCAGCTCGCATGCGCAATGCGGTCCGTGCGCAGATCACGTGCGTGGTCCAAAAAAATTCGACGCAACACCAAATAAATTGATCTCCAGCTTATTGACACATCAAAAGAGAAGGTCAAAAGGAATTCCGTCGCCGGGAATTGAACCCGGGCCTTGCCGGCGCTTCACAGAGCGAGTCGGACCCTCTTTGAGACTCTTTGAGAGCGGCAAATCCTAGCCACTAGACCACAACGGATTTCATGAGAAGGCGCTCAAACAATGCGCATATAACTTACAAATTGACACCAGGTTTGATGATCATTCTCTTGCAACTCTTTGTCCATTCCCTCCATTCCGGTTAGATCTGAAGCCATGCAGAAGTGATGAAGCGGGGACACGGGAAAGTCTTTGTAGCCGGCCGGGGGGCTTGTGGGTGGCGTTCGCTGGCCGCTTCCAGAACCCCAGTCAAGTCAGGCAAGAAGCCGACCACGACTGGCCATTCTGCATATCAAAGAAACCGCAATAGATCTCCGAGTTGAAGCTGTGACGCTTGAGCATTTTCAAATGTGATATCCGCAAGCTGGTACCTTTGCGCGTGTGAGGAAAGTCTGACGAAGCGGTTCTGCCGGTGGAATGCTCGTGGCATCTCGCGCATTGAAAGTCCTAGTCTAAAATCACTTGTCCGAGTTTCAAGCTCCAAATGTGGAGCTTACGGGAGATCGTTGTATCAGATGAAGTTGAGATGTTGGACCGCGTGGTTGTAACTCGTTGAGATTACAGCGCGACTCACTGATGAAAGTCTCAAACTTCTTCATGTGCATTTTTCAGGCAAAGGCTATACGCAAAGCTTGTCGTTTCCTGGAAATTTAGCCCCTCGGCAAGGCTGTTGGCATGTTGGATCTAATGCTGGAAAAAACTGTACATTATTGGTTGGAGGTTCATGTCTTGATCGCACGAGCGTTTTAGGACCTTTCTGGCATGTGAGTTGGACAAAGTGGAGGTGTTCCCATACGGCAGTTGTAGGTCACATTCAAGCGCAGTCGCGTTGCGTCAGTACGTACATTTTCAAGCCTTCGCAATGCATACCGATGAGGAGTGTTCAAGACCCAGTTCGCAAAAGCTGCGACCGTATGCCATGACACCAAGCCTCGCTTGCATAAATTTAGAAGATGTGCCTGGATTCGGCTACTTCTCGGCGCAAGTGGCCATGAACATAGGCATCATGACGTAGGTATAGCAGCCGACTGAAGAACGAATGGCTTTCGATGTCCAAGAGTGGTTTGTCTTTGCTCCGCTTTTCGGTAAGTGATGGATTGATTGGGCTCAGGTCAGAGAGTCCTGGGGCTGCCGCGAGGCTCGAGCAATGGCTCAAGGGTGAGCAGCCTGTAATGCATCTACAATTGGGAGGGGTTGCTCCGCTATCAGACGAGGCCAAGGCGTTGGAGTGGAGGAGCGAGCGGCCATCGACACTTATACGAGCAGCAGGCTCAAGAGCAAGGAAAGTGCCCAGCGTGTGGGACGACAGACATTCCGTTGCATTGACTGTAGCTAGGCGCCGTTATCAGTTCGGAACGGGAATCGGTCTCGGAGAGGGCGGCGAAGCATGTTACACAGATGTACAAGTCGGGGTACCAAGGGTGTCGAAAGTTCGGAGGTGGGCAGTGCGCTGTAGATCCAGAAGCGCATTGCCAGAGCATGGCTAAAACTCGCAAGAACTTGTGGTCAAAACGAGAGACAATGGCAGCGCGACTTACATTGGCATTGACGGGGTTCTGGTGGCATCATCGGGAGCATTCGATAAGGACTCCCACGCCGCGTAGCAGGAGAACAGAATAAGCAGGCGATCGGCAATGCACACATATGGTCCCTGGCCCGGACAGAAAAACACGAGAGGCGAGGTCAGATAAGGCGCACCCTCGAGTGTTTTTTTTTTATTTTTTTCGCGCGTCTCTTCGCAGCAGAAAATGTTGAGAGGGTCAGGGTGGGGATCCATGTGGTGTTGTACTGGATCTCTCAGAGTGGAAGGCAGGCTATTTTTGGTTTGTCGCGCAGTGGCACCCGCAGGACCCGCAGTTGCAGGTTTGGTGTCAGGGCGGAACGATTTTGCTGCGACACGAGCTGGATTCGTGTTTGCGCGCGGTGGAGGTCCAAAACGCAGAGGTGTTGGTTTTGCAGAGGCACGACACGAGTAGGAGTAGAGGCGTAGAGGCGAAGAGTCGGGTGTCTCCTGTTGATTGACGGCGGACCAGGTTGGAGGCCGTGGAGAGAGTTGTGGAGACGTCGACAAGAGGTGAAGATAAGGTAAGCGGCGTGGAAGTGGCTGAGACACTAGGCCACAAGGGGAAATGCAGACGAAGCGGGCGACGATTGGCGCAGAAGCGCTGCACTGCACATCCCGGACCATCACACTGGACACTGGACACTGCGCTCCGCTCCGCGTTGCCTCACCAGCCACTCACCCACCTCACCCATGCCCTCCCTGACTCTCCAGCTGCGGCGAACGACCTCTGACATTCCTCTTCCGACGTGCTGATGCGTCACCTCCGTCGCAGAATGCTGGCATCCACCACTCACTGCAAACGTCGGCTGCCCGCCCATTACCCACAAATTCGCCAGACACGTAACCTGCCGCGCCCACGGCCGCCAGCCATGCCCTCTGCTTCCAATGGCAGCTCCCTCCTGCCCGTCTCCATCGCTATTTTGAGATGGCCCTTCCCATCTTCCCTGCTTTGCCCTTTGCGACCATCCTGCGTGACGATCGCTCTGCCACTATCTGCTCCCTGGCCCGCTCCTCGGTGCTGCTCCCACTCCACGTCTCCCGTACTGCCTGCCTCTGCCTTCGTCTCACTCCACTCTGCTCGTACTTTGCTCTCGACTCCGGATACATAATTCTGCCCCTCGCCTGCCATGCGTGACCCCGGGTTTACCGCTTCCTACTGCGCAGTCGACATGTCTACCGCCGCAAACCAGTCTCACGTCCAGCAGCAGCCTCAGAACCTGCCTCCTCCGTACAATATCGACTACACAGATGAAAAGGCAACTCGAGAGTACTCCAAGTGGCACCCCAAGTCATGGGGGAAGAACACGAAACGAGCCGCCTTCTTTGGCGTGTGCGCCATCATCGTCGCCATCATCTGCGGCGCCTACTTTGGTGTTCGTGCAAACAAGTACCCCAACTACAACAAGCTAAATTACACTTTGCGAGACACATGTAAGTTTACCGCACTACTGGTCAAGCAAACCTGACAATATCAGACTCTGGCTCCGACTTTTTCGATCGCTTTGAATACTTTACAGGTTATGATCCCACCTCTGGTTTCGTCCAGTGAGTCTCTCTACTCTCTGCTCAGCGGATTATACTGACGAATGATCCCAGCTACGTCGACAATGCCACAGCTTCATCCATGAATCTGACCTATGCCTCCACTGAACGTGCAATTCTTCGGGTCGACACTTCTGAACAGAGCGCAACCACTGGCCGTAAATCCGTGCGCATCACGTCGAAGCAAACGTACGACAGCGGTCTCTTCATCTTCGACATTGCGCATACGCCCTACGGTTGCGGCACTTGGCCCGCTGTTTGGCTGTCGGATCCTGCCAACTGGCCTTACAATGGCGAGATTGACGTGGTGGAAGCAGTCAATAGCGTGCCACATGGCCAAGTGCAAATGACCCTGCACACCACTAAGAACTGCGACATGAACCGGAAGCGCAAGATGAGCGGCACCAACATCAAGTCAAACTGCTACAACGGCACCAACGACAATGCCGGCTGTGGCGTCTATGGCGAGCAAAACACCTTTGGCGCGGGTTTCAACGCTGCTGGCGGCGGAGTGTACGCCATGGAATGGCGCGACGCTGGCATTCGCATCTGGTTCTTCGATCGCAATTCACTCCCCTCGGATCTTTCCGCCGCCATCGATGTCTCGGGCGACACTTCGTCATCGTCAAACTCGACCACCGCTGCCCCTGATCCGTCCGGCTGGGGCGAGGCCATGGCCGACTTTCCCGGCACAAACTGCGACATCAGCTCGCATTTCCGCAATCAGAGCATCATTGCGAACATTGACTTGTGCGGGAGCTGGGCTGGTACGGAGACCGTGTACAACGGACTTGACTCGTGCCCCGGCACTTGCACCGACTACGTTGCGACCAATTACAGTGCCTTCACCAACGCGTACTGGGAGTTCAACAGCTTCAGAGTTTTCCAGGCCGAGTAAACGCGGGTATTTCGTTTTTTCAACACGGCAGCTTGCTCCGCCCGTCTGCTGGTCGACTGGTGGCGATGGCTGCCCGCCATATTCTTACGATATGAATTTGATGATTTGATGGGGCTTACTTGAAGAGTGGGTGGGGTTTTGGCTTTCAGTTCCTGGATCATGGCATAGGCATGGCATTTTTCTTCTTCGGGTTTGGTTAATGACGTTGTCGAGGGTAATAAGCACATGGAGAGGCACAGGTTTGGTGTGCTGAGTGCTGGATGGTGGATGGTCATAGATACCCAAAAGTGACGCTCACGCTGCGTGTATAGATTGGTTGGATAGGCGGCAAATTATTGTCTTTGTATCTTTCACTGTGAACTGCTTTTTCTTGAGTCGTTCTCCTACTCCAGATTCCTTCGACACGGCCCTTCATTGTTCGCAGCCAAACCTGCAAATTGAAATTTTGCAGATAAACCGGTTTCAAGCGCTAGTTTGACTGGCTACGTCGTCTGCACCTATCCAGACATGTGCACATTGCACGTTTCCAACGCCAACGCAACATCCTTCTCGGGACCAACGACACGCACACATGTGCCTGACCGTCTAGTGGCGCCATTCAGAGAGTGCCTGCTCCCAACGAACCACCAGACCCTGTGATGTCACACCAGACTGCAAACTCCCGTTGCGGTGTGCAGCGGGGAAGGGGGACGCGTCACCGACCGGCGGCCGCGCAGCCCTGCCCATGCCCTATTCCCCTCCCATTTGCTCCGTCGTCTATCGTGCTGCGTTAACTCGAAACGCCACCTGCCCGCCGTGGTCGGCCACCCGCGGATGCCGTGCTCGCTCATGGGCGGCGGGGCGTGGCATGGCGTGCGCGGCAAGCGGAGCTTCTACATGCACGGCGGGACCAGCACATTGGGTACAATTTTGATCGTGATTGGGCTTAAGTGAGGCGACGGTGTTGGGAGCTTGACGGGTAGGAGCAGATGGCGAGAAGATGCGTTCATGATGGAGTGATTTCAAAGGGCAGAGTAGTCAAGAGAAACTGGAGCCA